CGCTGTATCGTGCCGTACATCAGGCGGAGCGCTGCAGTGATAAGCCGTGGCCGCGGCGTCGCGACATATCTTTTCCGCGCCCCCGCGGCCTTTCGGTCCGCCGTGTCCCGTTGTCTGAGCAACGGTTCATCCAATGGAAAACACGTTCCGTGGGCGTTCTGCGTGGGATGCAGCAGCGGCTTGTCGACCGTTGAAGGGATTAGTAGGGTGGGATTTGTGGACTGCAGTGTCACTCGTGTTCGGGTTTGTCCTGTAGTGTGATGCCGTTTCAATCGCGGACCCCTGGCCATCGCACCCCGCCGGAGCCATTGACGGCCCCTTTCTGTTCACCCTTGTGTGCTCGTATGCGGATGACGTGCTTCTCCTTGGGAGTGGATGGGCGTTTTTGACGAGAACTGTCTGTGGATCTCGCATTCAGGGAAAATCGGGACCTGGACAAAGGTGGCATATGGGCTGCCGGGCTTTGCGACGACCTCGCTGTCGTTCCTGATTTCTGTGTATGCCAACGACTTCTACAGCCTTCTGGTAAGGCACAGAAATTGCCGTTTTCGCCACACGTTGTGCTCACGCTGGTGCCAGCCGCCGTCAGTGCTTATTGCCTAATGAAGATTCAATGAATGCTATTCCACTGTCTTCCATTGTGTCCCTTGTCTGCCTTCCGCTCCTGCCATGACACGGTGTTGCTATAGAGCTGCGATAAATGCATGCGTAGTATTTTGTCTTCGAGCTTGCTGGACTGAGGTTATGAGCATGCCCTTCATCAGGTTGATCCAGCAAGACAACCACAGGATTTCATAGTTCACCCACCTTGCATTGCTCTAAGTGTTAACCTTTAACTGGACTTCGGTTGGGGTGCAGTTGGGTTGGAAGAACATATTGTGAACTCGTGTCAACCAACCTTCTGCGTCCGCAAGCAGGCACTGCCTCATTGCTTGTGTCACAGCACTCATTGCATTCAAAGTAGTCATGGGCGGATAATGGCATGCAGTTGCTTATCTGGTGCTTACGCTCCACCCAATTTGGCAAGTCCCTCTCTGCAAGGATTTGGTTGACAGAGGAGAATCGCTCTGCTAACTCATGCATGTATATACATGTTGACAATGGAGCTTGAGACATAGTGCCTTCTATACTCAAGAGCACAGTTATCTGTTATGGATATGTGTACTCACTGCATTGACCTACCTGTTGTGGTGTCAGCCAGGCTGCTGCCTTGTGCAAACTTTGCCAGCTCATGCACTGGTATCCTGTGAGCGATGTCATTTTCAAGCTACACAATATGTGCAGGATTGCTGGAACGGGTGTGGGGCAATGCATTGTGTTTGACAGGAGCACTGATTTCCATCCATTTGTGGCGGTATACTTTTCTCATGGACTTTTTGCATTTCATGGCAATTGGGTCTTTGGCTGTGCAACACATATCAAGTGACTGTGCTGTTACAGTTCGTCCACTTCTCACTGTGAATGTCCTCCCTTGTGAAATGCTCATGATCTCAAGCATCTCAAGTTTGTGCCATTTCTTCTTGCATCACCACTGTCATGCCCTCTGCCTCACTTGCGTGCCTTTGTTTCTTTTGTTTCTCTGCAGGGTGTTGGCCTGTCTTTCTTGTCATTCTTCACTGCCCTTGCCCGGTCTTTCGACGTCCTCACAGACCCCCTCATGGGTTGGTTTTCAGACAGAACAAGGACAACGTATGGACGGAGGCGGCCATTCATGGCCAGTGGATGCATCTTCTATGCACTGCTGTTTGTGTTGCTGTTTACTCCACCAGGTAGGGGGCCTGGGAGAGGCTGGTGCAGTCATTGTGGAATTGTAGTGGAACAAATTGCATCAAAAGTTCTGGTGAGCTTTGGCCTCAGCAAGAAGTGTCTCATTCAGCATCACGCCCTGGCTTGTGACGCTGTTTAGCCTGATTGTGCAGGATGAGAGTGAGGCTGCCCTGCCCATCAAACTCTTCAATATATCCTAGAAACAAACATCTTGAGCAACAGGCAGTTTCTTTGTTTTTCTACATTTTGTATCTGTTTTCTCTGTGTAAGGGGCATCCATTTTTGCTTCTCAATAACTGGCATGAACAGCTCTTTTTTTCACTTGCAATATTGGGAGGCCCCAAAGTGCCAGACAAGTGTCCCAGACGTTGCTGGTATTTTCAATTTTACTGCCGCTGTGTTGAGAGAACGTTGTGGAACAATCCAAGTGGCTAGCCTTTTTGACCATGTTGTTGTAACCATAAGAACATGTTTCTGTGTTGTTTGCATGGTCCATTGCATTCCCGTGTATCTACCTGTTGCTGTGTTTGTGGATTCGGAGTTCAGCAGTGGTGCTGGTAAATTGACAGGTACATATCTTCCGGGAACCGCTGTTGTTTCACAATTTGTATATATTGAGCATCAGGCAAGCTATTTTGGCTGCTACTTCTTTGTAGTGCTGGTCATGATTCCATCGGTGTAAATCGGCATGATTGTGCAACAAAGTCGGAAATGCTGTCATTGCGGCTGAGAGTTGTGTATGGAGTGTGGCAACTCCAGATCACGAGGCAGCATGTAAAATACCATATGGATCTTCATGCAACTTATGATCCATTTGCTTCTATATCTCCGGGCCCTTTTCCTTGAAGCTCATCTGGATGTTTACTGTTGTGGTGTAGATGGTGGAGGTAAAATTGCCACTGCATGGTTTGCAACCTTTTATCCAGTGTTCTACTTATTTGACACATACACGAATGTACCGTATGAGGCGCTGGGACCCGAGCTGTCAGATGACTACAACGAAAGGAATCAGATTTTTTTCACTGCCAAGATTTTCAACTTTCTTGGTAAGCACCTGGACCCCCTTATGCTTCCTTCTTTCCAGATCGTGCCATCCACTCTTTGGCTGGCTGTGTTTATGTTGCCTGCTTGGTTGGAGTTAACATAACCTTTCTATTCCCTGTGGTGGATGTGCCCGTGTTGCCCTTTATCAATTCGTCACTGTTGTGTGCACCATCGATTTCTCAACTGTCGCCAGATGATCAACTTTACACACACTGGAATTGATAAACCCACACTGATTTTGGCAAATGTAATTGCAACGGATTTCCACTGGAATGTGTTCCATATTGACACAGGCCACTAGCATGGCACACATAGCTTGCAAGGAATTGCATGCTTGCCATTGCTTTGGCCTTCATATTTTTGTGCCGCACTATTTTGCTGCAACCAGTGTATTTACTTGCCAGATCAGGAGTCCTGGGCCCCCTGGCGCAGCCTTGCTAAAGGTGCCTATTCCCAACACACGAGGTTGTGGTTTTGATAAAGTGGCCGAAAGATTGTGGCTATACATATTGCTCTGAAAGGCCTATTCCGGGCATACCACATGGAACTTCAGTTTGTAGCTGCAAGAATACAGATTGCAGGGGACTTGCCAAAAAGAGGAAGCCCGTATGGGTGGGAAATTAATGTTTTGATGGGAGGATTTGTCTCACATGCATTCAAGCAAATGCGCAGTAGTTATATTCCAACCTGCGATCGCATGATCGCTATACTGATAGGACCCCTGGTGCCTCCGCGACGCGTCCCGTTAAATGTGCCCTGCGGAGCTCCACCTGCCATATCTCTACATCCTGCGATACTGCCTGTTGAGCGGCTTGTCTACGCTTGCCCCTAAGGCCCACGTCTAAGTCGTTGAGTCTTAACTGTTCACATGTCGTCCACCAACCTGCCCCACATGGCGCGGGCGCCTTCACGGCAATGTACGCAAGTAGGCGCGTTGATTCTTGGGCTTCACCCAACCCATCCCACACAAGATCGAGTTCCGGAGTCCCATTCTCGCCGCTGCAATGGTCGCCAATCGTGGCCAGCCACCATTTCTAAGAACGAAGCATGGTGTGCAAGACAGAAACGGGGGGCTTTTGAGAGCTATGACGAGCACTCAAAAGCCCTAGAGTCTGAAGCTTGGATGAAATACCCAACACTGGTGGATGGCATGGTTGTGATGTCACAAGCCATTACATTCTCGTGACTACAACACCCCATTGTTGGCAAGCAAGGGCGATTAGTGGAAAGTGGTGCCTGGCCATTTTGTTGTCCACCATTTCAGCTTGTAGCCTTTCAGTTTCCAGGCAAGCCCTATCACTTTACAGCGATATGGTTTGTGGGGGTGTGCTTATGTTGCTTGGCGCATTTTTCGTGTCAAGCGTTATGGAGCTTTGTCCCAAGATCCTCCTTGCAGATTGCGTATGCTCCTGGGGTGGTGAGCTCCGATCGCTAACCTTCTCTAGTGTGCCATGTACCCCGTTTTGTCTAGCACCCCGCAAATCGTTCTTGGAGACGATGACTGGCCGCTATTGGCGACCATCGCTGCAACGAGCATGGGACTTTGGGGCTCGATCTTGCTCGGGATGGGTTGGATGAAGCCCACGAGTCAGCGTGCCTACTCGTGTGCATTGCCATGAAGGCGTCTGCGCCGCCTGGGGCGGGTTTACGGACCCAGGCACTGCGGCTAGGATTCAGCGACTTGGGCACGGCGACCTGAGGCACAAGCGTAGATAGGCCACTGAGGGGGGCCATATCGCACTACTATGAAGGGGCGTGGGACGCCACGTGTGCGATGCCACCTGTCCCGAGGCCGTAGGTTTGAGGTTTAGGAGAATGCGCAGTACGCCGTATACCCGTCCTGAGACCCAAAATTCCGAGGGTTGTAAAGATACGGGAGGTGGAGCTCCATAGGCCACATTTGATGGGACGCTTCTGCAACTGCACGAGTCATGTGATTGCAGGTGGGAATGTGCACCAATATTCTCACCTGCGATTGCCATAATAAGGGTATGACAATACAGCCACTTGTCACGTCAACCCTGGGGTGGCAGTGCCGGCCTGTCACATCCCCTAATCAGGGGCTGATGTGCAAAATGTGCCTGTACGGGGTGCAATCGCATGATGCCGTGCGATCGCAGTTCCGAATCTCGTGTTGTATTTGGCAATTCCACAAGCAACGCGACGCTCATGTCACTCCTATTTTGGGGAAGAGTGTCAACAAAAAAATGGCGTTGCTTCTAAGAAATGCGGAAGAAACAACCCTTGATGCAGGCGATGCAAATTTGTAGAAAACACGCATCACTATCGTCAAGGCGACCCGGGGTTTGGCATCTGTGTCCAGTTGAAGCCACGCCTACGCAGTCGTGGGTGCTCATGGGCAGCGGCCTCATTGCAAGGCCGAAGGCACAGGGAAGGGCCCGCTGCAACGTCACTGCAAAGACATGGCTTGCCGTTGCCTGTGCACCAGTGCAAACAAAGGAGACTACCTTGACTTGCTCCCAGAGCGATCCACAGTCCATCCCCACAAAGAACGCAAAAGCGGTGTGCTCATCGCGGCTTGAGCCCCCAGACTCTGCCGACTAGCTGCCATGGATGGCTGCTCCCATCTAGCACTGGTGTTTCAATGCGCCCAATAACGCAACGAAAAGGGACATCTGCGCTGGCCCCAAGGCTACATAGCATATGTTTCTGCTCCTGCTTCCCAGCCAAGGCTGATGTGGAATGAAGAAATAGTGAACAACATTGGTTCAGCACTATGCGGAAGAATATACCCCTCTGAATGCAACGCAAACGTTTTAAAATGCAGAATGCGAAATACCGTATTTGCCCCGTAGTAGTATCCCCCCCTATTAGTATCCATCCCCTTCTTTGGGGGGTGAAACCAGTTAGTATCCATGACCCGGCATAGGTATCCACCCCCAAACCTCAGCGGAACAGAAACAAGGGGAAGGCGCGGATAGTGGCAAGGGATGTCGGCGGCTGGTGTTGGGCCGCGTTGCCCAGTCTGGGCCAAACTGCGTTCCCTGCGATTCGCGTGTCGATGATGATGAACGGGTCGGCGTGGATGCTGTTGAGGGAGAGTTTGGCAGGAGGCCCACTAAAGGCCGCAAGGTTGACTGGCTGCCGTTTGGGTTTTTAGCACAGGATTGCTGGGCGACGACCGACTAGGCCCGATCAAACAAGCGATCGAGAAATCAAAGGCCCCCTTTTTTCTAGATTGAGTCAACCTGCTCCCCAGCCGGCCAGAGCGTGTTCTGGTGACGCCTGCTAAGGGCAGCCCAAGGCCCAGCGCCAAGAATGGGCAGGCAACGGCGCTAGTCAGAGTGGCCGCCGTTGTGAAACAGCGCCTCACAAACTGGCTTCGACATGCTGGGGGTGCTGCGCCGCGATGATGGACTTGGCCCCCGGCGCTTTGACAGGCTGAAGCCTGCTTGGATAGCTGCTGGGATCTGTGATTGGCCAGTCACACAACAAACCCATGGGAATGTGGCCTGGCAGCTGTGCGAATTGGGGACGGGCCCTGCCTTTGGGGCGTTGTGCAGGCCATGTCGGTCCTCGTTCTTCGCATCGCGGAGGCAAACGTGCCTTGAGCAGTCCAAGGACCCCTGCTGGCCCCATTCGCCAGTCACCCTCACCGTGTGCAGCCCCAAGTTCAGACCACTGGCTCTTGTCAAGAGGCTGGCAACTTTCAGTTATCACATTGCCACTGATAGTATGGTGTTGTCGATGGTGTGGTGTCTGATTTGCAACTTGGAATTGGTGATGTTGCTACCTATGCATTGCAACTTGCATTATTTCAAACCCATTTTGGGGGCATTCACGATCTATGCTTCAGAAATTTTAATAGTTCTACTCCAAGGATCAGGGGTCTAAACTGCATTTGTATCCATGACCCACTACTAGTATCCACTGCTCATGTTGGGGTTTCCAATACGCGCCCACTAATACCGGGTAAATATGGTATACTCTGGTTCTTGGTGTGTAAATGGTACTTGAATTTTGCACCATTGTCTTTGGGGGATTTGTAATGAATGTGCAACATTATTAACAGCATGATTATCTAGGGCAGTTGTCACGCTCTCATTTGGCATAGCCCCGCCTTTGCCCTGCAGACAATTGTGCAGATTGTGCCTTCATTTCTTTTAGCATTCATTTCATGCCTGGTGCAATCAACATTTGTGGTTATGCCTGACAAGAGAGGCATCAAAATGTTAGCACTTTCAGCAGTCTTTAGCCCCAATTGTGGAGTGTAAAAATTTCCCTCTCTCCTCTTTGCAGTCCTGAAGTTTGACCGCAGAGAATAGTACAGAACGAATTTTGTAACTTTTGACACTGTTTTGGGTGTGCCATAGGAATGCTGGTTGCTGCTGGTGCCCCTGCCTGCATCACGTTCATTCTGCGCCAGGCTGAGAATGAGCACCTGGATTGCCGCAGCATGTTCACCATCGATTCCCCACCCGGTGTTTCCCAGCCTAAGCTGCCAGAGTACATAGACCAGAGGGTGTGCCGCGATTCAGCAGACTGTGATGGCTCAGCCGGACGGGTGGGTTCCCTGACGTTTGTGGGCATCCAAGTGTGTAACAGGATGTAGAACATGCATTCAATTAGTTTCCGGTCTTCTGGCTTGGCGGTGACTTCCCTGAATTGCTTGGGTAGCTTCTCATGACTGTGTGGATATTGCTATGAATGCACAGTTTGCGAAAGAGATGGACAGCTGTACATGCCATGGACAACAAGGAAGCATTGATATCAAGCATGTCGTTGGGCTGCAGGTTTGTTTCCTTGAAGTGTTCTCCCCAGACAACGACAGGAAGTACTATGAGCTGGAGCTGGAAAACCTGAACGATCAGTGTAGCAAAGTGGACTTGGAGCCCGAGCTGTTGGATTGTTTTGGCAGGAACAGCTCAGTTTGCGAAACTCCCGAGGCAGCAGATGAGGAGGTTTGCGTTGCAGCAGAGGTGTTTGACATCTCCTACCTGAACGCCCAGAAAAAGTCTTTCTTCTTTGTGTCTCTAGTGTTTGGGATTTACTTTGTGTCTAGCGTCTGGAACTGCGTGCTGTCCATTCAGGAGAGGAAGATGTCAGAGGAAGCAAAGATTACAATCCCCTTGGTGCCATCGATTCTCCGTGCATTCAAGAATCGTGCATTCAAGCCTCTGCTGGCAGCCTGGGCTTTGGATGGGTTGGCACTTTCGGCGCTTGTCACCATGTTCCCATTCTTCATTCGGTATGTTGTCATCAGTGATGGTGTCAAGGCCAATGAAGGTGGCTATGCAATGGATCCAATGGTGAGAACCAGTTATTGCCAAACCACTGCACTTTCCTTGATGCATCCTGTTCTGTATCACAAGGATGTGGACTTTTGTCCGAAGTGTGCTCTGGTGCTTGAGCATTTGTGTCACTTGGAGTTGGGGCACTGGTTTTCGATCCCCAAACATGTCCTTGTTCCAGCTTTTTGTGGTGCCCCTCTGCAATAGTGGGGAATGCATGTGTGTCATCTTGTGTGGGTTTCCTGTGTGCCTGGGAGGTTTGACCTTCGTTGGAGCTGGAGATAAGCAGGCGGCCCCTTGCAACAGTGAATTTTGTGGTATGACAGTCTGTGGCACTGCACGTGCACACTTGTTTGCCACTAAAATTGAGGACATTTTTGGTTTTGTTCCCGCAGATGTGCACACAAGTCTGTGGTATGCTGGTGCATAAGCTTGACAATGACAGAGAAGCAACTGTGTTGTGCAGATGACCAAAGACTGACTTCAAATCTTCTCTGTGTTCTGGTGTGCAGGTTTGCATGGGCATAAGTGTGATGGGCCTGCTCATTACAGCAATGGCATCAGCGCCTGTGTGGCTGATTGCAAGCAACAAATTTGGCAAGTACAATGCTTGGATTTTGTACAACTTGGTCAACGTTTTCACAAACCTTCTGTTCTTCATTCCTGCTGAGGGGGACCCAGGACAGACAATTGCTGTTATGATGCTCAACGGCATCCCTGTGGGTGGACAGTTCCTAACAAACTCCGTCCTTGCAGATGTGATTGACTACGATGAGGTGGGAATGTGGCTTGGGATGCTTTCATGGTGTTGAGTCGTTGTAGATTGTGTCCAATTATGTTGCAAAATGCAAAAGTCAGCTCATCTGTCTCCTACCTATAACGTTTGCTTTCCTGCTCCTATTCGTGGTATTAGCAGACTATGGTGGATCTGATCACCACGATGCTTGTTGATGTTGCAGTTCCTCAATGGCTCACGATCGGAGGGGAGCTTCAGTGTGTTTGCAACGCTGATTCCAAAGTTTGTGGCCATTCCTGCAAGCGCTCTGCCCCTGGCTGTTGTCAACCTACTTGGCTTTGAGCCTCCAATAGATGGAGTTGCTCAGGAACAGAAAGACAATGTCAAGATGTTCATCCGAATGACATTTGTGCTGCTGCCATTGCTGGCAGCCTCATTTGGTTTCATCATCAAAATATTCTTCCCCATCAAGACCGCAAAGATACTTGCCCAGATCCAGGATGGCATTGCCAAGCATGAGAGGTACTGTTGTCTGTGGGGCATTGGCCTCTGCCAGTATTGTCCTTTTTTGGTGTCCTGGGTTGTATTCTTGCTTTCTAAAACTGCCGTTTGTGGGGCAGTTATGGAAACATTGCCTGTTTGTCACAGCATTGTTTTTTTGAGTTCGAATCTTGCTGGACATGGGGATCCACTCTGTGCCTCTGCTTGGCCGCTTGTTTGGGAAGAGCTGGCTTCTCTGTGCAACGTCGTTGTGTAGGGTGCCAGTGGGCGTCTTGATGATGGGCCTGCCAGCCATGAGTTCAGTGGCATTTTGGATTAGCATAAGCCACAGAATGCTTGTGATGCTGCCTGATGGACGGATTGAGGTGCAAAGGATTTTGATTTTGCAGGAAGGAACCTGCTGTTGACCCTCTCACTGGTCACACTATCAAGCTGATGGAGCTTACACCTGAGGAAACTGATACAGTGTGGCTTTATGAAAACTTCTCGTCGAGTTGCTTGCAGTTTCTGAAGGACCAGGGAACAGCAAAGCCGATCGTGGTGGAGATGGCCTTGTACTTCGTCATTGGTACCCTCTGTACCACCGGATTTTTGTTGGCCACTATTCTTACGTTCAAGTTTGTGAGCGACCGGAAGTTGGCGATCATACCAATTGCTATGGTGAGTGCACATTTGCAAGGTGGGGAGGGTGCCTGGTTCCCACCTCACGCCCCGTTTATGCTGAAATGGCAAAAGGCTTGCCGCTCTGGCAGAGGTGATTGCTGTGCACATTCTTTCCAACAATGTTGCTGGTTTTCCCACAGTTGCCTCATCCGTTGCGTTACATGTCCCTTTTGAAGGGGGAAGGTGAACTGCCAACAATTGTAAGCACCAAACTAGATGAACGTAACCAAGTGACTTTGAACAATGTGTCCCACATTACAGTGCAATGTTACAGGCACTGTTTCTTCTGTTTAGAGACCTTAGAAAGTGCCTTGTTTGGAGTTTCAAACTTGCTTTTATATTTCTAGGAAGTTAAACCAGTAGCCATGGACATTGAACATGGTGTCACTGACTTTGATCACTCATAGCTGTTGGAAATAGTCAAGGCATCATCACCCCTGCTGTATCTTCAATCTTGGCACCTTCAAAGGGAATGGGCGAAACAGAAAGATCTACAGACGCCAATCAGATTGCAGGTCAAACAGGGAGTGGTAGGTGAAATTTTTGTACCCTACGTTAGTTTGTCTGGGACCCTTGTTTGCTGGCCACAGAATGGTAGGCAACAGTGAGATATGCAGAGCAAACACTGTGTAATTCAGGCGATACCAAGGGCGTTTGGCTTGTATTCCAGATATTGAGATGATCCTGCACCCGTGCATGTACTTGTTGTTGAACTCCATATACCCTAACAACACACCAGGCATGAATGGAAAGCCACCTTGCTCACAGGCAGAAGCTTTCGATCGAAGGCAGGCAACTTTTTTTGTTAGAAAGGATGCAGATACCAGCCATCGGTTTGAGTTTAGGGTAAGGCCTTTCGGGTATTGGTGTTGTCAAATATCTAACTGGCAACAAGGATGTTCTGAATTGCGCCGACCACTGCCCATGACTCGCCACTTCCATCCAGAGGCAGCATTCGCATCGATATCTAGGAGCACCTTGTATCATTCCGTTATAACACCCAGACGCTGTCGTTGTGAAGTTGCCAAAGATGCAGTGCTAGTCACGTCCACCACCACTCAATGGTGACTGCTCGCATCGAGCAACAACGTTCGATGCAACCTTTGACACGAACGACAGGGCTTATGGACAGCCCCCTGTCTTCCAGTTCCTCTCTTGCAGGCTCCCACATGAGAAGCCGAGTGGAAGAAATTCTAGGAGCTGCTGATGTGCAGAATGTGGAGGAATTAGGCCCTTAGATATGATACCACATTGTTGGAGGAATCAACATTGTTTGGCACGCACAAGTGTGAGGTGTCGAACAGCCAAGATCAAACTTGAGATTTCAAAGAAGACCACTGCACACTTTGCTAAAATTTCCAGATACACACTGTCCAGCAAGGAGATGCATGAATTCCCCTGTGCTAGATGTGCACAACATGGAGCATGATGCATATTTTAGAACCCCAGCGGCTACCAGGTATCACAATTTGGGCACGATGGAGGTGCAACACCATATCCTGTGCCAAAATCTGTATGTTGATGATCCAAATGATTGCATGACTCAAGTGGATTTTCCTTGTAGGCGCAAGCAATGGTGCAACGGCTATTGCTGAGCATTGTTTGTGTTGACTGTGGGCAGGTTATTCTTTTTGGAATGTCTCTGAGTTTCATGCTGCTCAACATGCTCCGTTTCTTCGATGCCTTGAGGTTGAGCAGATCAAACTTTTCAGTGCACAGCGATTTGATTGGAAGGCTCATGGTTGCCAAAGCATCTGGACAGCGGTCAGGAGCTATTGGAGAAACGCCGATCATTGTAGGTTGCTCCAGTCACCTTCCAACAGTGGAGTTGTTGGTCTTGCGGTGCTCAGTGCAGCTTGTGGCCAGGGTTGCGCAGATTGGCACTGTTTTCAAAGCTGGTGTCCTTGCACAATCTGTGAGCCATACGCTTGATGGATTTCCCGTTCAGCCCATGTGGACTCATCTTCTGATGCAGGGACCAGGCATACAAGTCCCCCTGCTTCCCCGTCCATAAGAGCCTGGGTCCGCATTCCCTTGACACATAGTGTCCTGTATTGTTTAGGCAAGGGGTTGGAGACTTGCAGGACGAGGCTTCGAGCTGCCTTCGCTGTTGTTTGCATGAAAGTATAGGAGAATACCCCTGTCATCTATCATACAGCCGCACATGTTCATCCCATACAGACTTGTTAGAGTCCATGCCATAGGGTTTAATTGCCACCAACAGCACATGCTCCCACATTCTCCACTTGCTGGTGCTGTCTTGACTCAAAATTTTGTGTGCCCCCACTTTCAGACTAAGTTCCTTTGGGCAACAAAGGAGCGAGGATCCGATGTTATGTCTCGCATGTCGTCTTCCACCAAAGTGGCTCCCAAACCAAGCACCGATCTCTCCCTTCAAAAGGACAAGAATGGTGGCTCTGACGAATCTGAAAGCCCATACTACTTGAAAGCAATGCCAGACCACGATGTATCAGAATCTGCACCATTTCCAGAAAAGGAACCTGACACGAAAACCCCCTGTGCAGTCGTCAGTTATTGGCTCCCCAAGGGGGAGAAAAGGAAAACTTGCGCCCCTGGTAGTGGAAGTCATGCCTCGGATTCGCGGAAACCAGAAAATGGCCAGGAGTGACTCTATAGACGGCCTTGCAGTAGAAGTGCCCCAGCAGGCGCAAACGAGGGACTAGGTTCGCATGTCAGGCAGGAACGAAAGGATGGAAAGTGGAAAATGGAGCGAGACTCCAGCGTGCCTCAGGTGCAATGTTTTCTCAACGTTGGAAATGATAGGGCAGCAGTTGACAAGTGATCATTTTTGTTGGAAAGAGAGGACAGCAGTGAATACATCCTTTTTCAACGATGTGTATGGTCAGGCTTGGAACAGTGTCATTCTGTGTGAATAACTGCTGCAGTTGGCAGCTGTGTTGTGTCACCCCCGCGAATAGTTGTGCAGATGCTTTGTGGTTCTCTCCTATGGGCAATTTCCTTGATTGGGTTTACTGTATCTGCTGGGAGGGCAAAGTCCAACGTGGAATTCATGCTTTTGGACCCACGCTTTCTGCATCGAAAACTAGCTGGGCAGCAGTGCCACAGCACCAGCGCGGCAAGCCAATATGGCAAGAAAATGACGCCAGCAGGCTTGGCTGTCTGTCCACGTGCAGCCTAAATTCCTGTTTCTGTTTATGTGTACTGGGCCATGGAAGTGAGCATTAGGAAGAGTATGGTATACGCAGTCTTGGTCTTCGTTCTGCAGACGGAACTATAGGAAATTGGCACAAAAAGGGCAGAAAAATGCAGCAGCTGCATGGCTGTCTCCTGATGACAATTAAGCTTCATTCTTCAGTTGTGCTTGTCAGAGAAGATCTTCTGCCAAGTTGAGCATCCCTCCAACATAATCTGTTTTGCTGCACTGTGTCAATTGTGCGTTGTGTTGCCGCTTCTTGGAACCGCAAGGCTTTGTGCGTAGCTCAGCCTGCATATCTCATGTGGTAGAAGATATGATTGCCTGGTTTTCATTATCCAGCATGCGGGACTCCCTGTTCCTTCAGTTTCATGTTCCTTGTGTGTGCTCGTGCTTTCAGGGCCACTGGTTTCAAGTGATTGATGCAAGCAGGAAAGAACAGATCGCTTCCAAGTATGGGTCCAAGTGGCTTGCTCGCATAAAGAGGAATCGCAGGGAGAATCCCGAGTCTGATGCCACAACAGGCACGTCAAGCTTATCTACTTGTTCAATTGCATATGTTTGGGTCAACAAATTGTAAGAAGGGGTACACAACCTTCATGACGATCTGTGGCATGTCCTTGTCGTGAACGAACAAGTCAGTTGTGATGTTTTGACTTGGCCTCATCAAGCTGTAGAGAGAGAATCGTGTGGCACTGCTGGGGCAACCATCAGAAATCATGAACATGCAACTACAATATTCTTGGATTGAACAGAGTCAGCCAAACTTTTGGGGGGGGCTTACTTGCCTGTGAGCACCTTTGGAACCACCCAAATACGATTCTGTGGATGCTGCCAGAAAGCCTGCACGGCAGCAAAAGTGCACAGGCCTGGCTAAGTAGATGAGTATTGCTGCAAGTCATTTGCTTTCCTTGTTCCTCAGTTCGTTGAAACGGTGTCCCCCAGCAGCCATGCACGACAGAACAACTGTCAGAGCAACCGAAGCATAAACAAAACTATGATGACAGGGCCCATGTGCTGGAAGTCCGTTTTGTGAGCTCGTGCATTATTAACAGTCAACGGACTGTACTTCACAAAGCCCAGTTGCCGTGCACGAATGACATGGAATCTGCTCAATGGGAGGCTGTGTGAGTGGGCTCACACAGAGGATGGAGAACACCATTCAGCTCAAGATGAAAACTGCAAAATCTGACTGATGAAACACAGCCATCTGACAAAATCGTCTTGGTTGCCCTTGCAATGACTGCTTCTATGGCAAGCGAAGCACGTTCAATCCTCTGAGATTGCTGTCCTCCCTTCACCCTTCTGCTAGCCTGCCAGCACAGAGAGTGCTTGCGGATTCTGAATGATGTGTGTATTGTGCACAGGGTTGCTGAGTCACCCGGTGGAGGACAGCGCAGGTGGTGGCACTGGGGGGTTCCCTACTGTTTGACCGCAGAAGAATGAGTTCAGAAACTGAATCAGGTGACAAATGCTTGCTGGGTGCCCAGGTTGGTGGACCCAGCCACACTTTGGTTTCTGACGCAAATACCACCCGCCTCTTTGTTTTGTATGGCACAATGTGCTGGGGACCAAATTCTGTGTCAACACTGAGAAGAGTAACTCATTGCTGGTTGTATTGGTTAAGTGCATGACAGTGCACTGCTCTTTCGCGTGTCTGCCGATGTCAGGTGTTCAACGATGAAAATGTCGCCGATAACTGATTTTCCTGCCCCATTTGACCTGTTTTCATTCACATGCTTACTAGTGCTTAATAGTCGAAATTATGTGTCCTGGATGGCATGGCTGGATAGCTTGTTGGTGCTGTATGGTTTCCATTGCAGTGCGATTGTGCGTCCATGAGAAACAGCGACAGTGTTGAATGGACGGAGTTAAGAAATTTCGTCGGGAATGAGCTCATGTTGTACCATCAAGAAGATTGTCCCATATTCCTTGTGTTCTTCTGCCGTCTTCTGAGTCCAAACTCCAGATTCCTTTGAGGATACCACATTCGAGCATTTAGACTCATTTGAGTGTAACACATTTGCAAATTGCCTTGTGCCTCAGGACAAGATCAAGGATGAAGTTTCATGCTATTAGTTTCAATGCCACAAGAGCATGGCAAGTTCGTAGACGTGGCGAGTTTGTTCGCCGACGCGTGCCCAGATGGAAAAGAGCTGAAAGTGTCCTGCTGATTATGTGGATGACTGCATCTTTTGTGAGGGGTCATCTGTAGTGTGTGGCTTCCTTGTACCTTCAGAGTGGTCTGGGAACCTTGTGCTCAGGCCCCTGGCCGTTTGAATGTGGAAGCCTCACTGTCGCAAGACCTGACGAATTCAGTGTCCAAATTCTCGGCAGATAGCAGGCAGGCATCCCCCAGTTGACTTGACATATTGGCATTCTAGCAGGATGGGCAATGTTTCTTTGATCGTTTTCTTCACCTGTAGTTGCCAGCATTCAAGGCGGCAGGAGTTTTTTTGGCAAACTTGGCATCTTTTCACAGTTGTGTGTAAGGACCAAGGCCCCTTGCTGGAGTGGGCTGCTGTTGATGTGGACTCGTCCATGGTGTGCGTCCTGCTCTGCTGGCTCCACTCCCTGCACTGTTTTCGGGCCTTTGCAACGACCGGTTGATCTCACAGGGGCCCACTTGCTCAATCTGGAGACACCTGGCGCGCATCATACATGGGCGGGGCACATTCTGCAGTCATGGTTCTCCACGCTGCCGCCTTGATACCACTTCACTCTCACGTGTGTTGGGCTGCTAATGCCAATGCCGCTGTGAGTCCAATCTCAACGCCCCCAACGGCGATCCTGGCCAGCGTTGGCGCCTTAAAGGCGTGTGCAAGTCCGAGCGGCAGAGCCACGAGCACCCATGTACCTCGTGCCATGGCCACACGTTTGTGGCCATAGAGCCAGGTTGATGACCGCAAGACGAGGCAGCCAAGAGTCGGCTGCAAGGATTCCAGGGCGTCAAGAACATCACCCGATGGTGCCGCTGCAACCAGAGTGGCCCCTTGCCACTGCCTCGGTCCAGCCACAAGCTCGTGACTGGCTTGGCAGCCTGCCACCCAACGGATATGATTTCCCCATCACAGCATTGTGACTAATCGTGGAGCAACATTTTACGGGCCCTGATACAGGCACGACAAGCTCCACTCGCTTCGCTTGCTCGCAATAGCTAAGGGCGATATGTCACTCGGCCAAACTGCCACTGGTATTTACTGCATTTGAGAGCCTGGTCGCACCCATTGGGCCCAGCGTAATGCACACCCCACTAATGAAGAGCCAAGAGTATGTTGGGAAGCGTGGGCCAAAGCGAAGGGCCTAATGGCATCTACGCATGTTCATGGTGCTCCTGTCCCAAATGCTGGAACTGTACACCCCAAGACCAAATGTTGCGTGGCCATTATGTGTGACTGCTGACTAGGCAGCGGCTGAGTCACGGCCACGTGCTCTCCTGCCCTTCAACGGAGAGAACCAATCCAAAGACCAAAGCTGAGAGCGCTCAGGGACAGGAAACAACCCACAAAGATTCCAGCTAGAAGAGCACAAGCCACTTGATATTGAACCGTGCCACAAATTGGGCCAGAATGCAAATCGAAAGAAGTCCTGGGCAAGTCACCAACACTTTCTCCCCTCGCTGCACGTTCTCTCCGAACACGCTCAGCCTCCCACAGAAAGGTAAGGCGCCCCTTCAAGGCAGCGACCTCCCTTGCCAGCCTCGCCAAAGGGAGACTATCCCTTGGCATCAATGATACCAATTTTCAATAAACGCTTGCAGCGATCCTCTTCACCAAACGCGCACCGTGAACTGAAGTGTCAAAGGCTAGCAACACCGTGTTTATCAGCACTATAGTCACAAAAGCACAACCAAGTGTTTGCCACAGTTCCCACCACTTCTTCTCACTCCACAACACACTGCAGCACTCTCCTGTTTGATTGGCTGCCTCACGTTCACCGCCAAGAGAGACCAAAATATCGTCCGGATACAAAGTCACCTCCAGGGCTTCCGACTTTCTGTCCCTCTTGTAAGTCTCTCAGGACTTGACCATGAAGACGCAGTCTCCAGCACACGTCCCAAGGTCACTCCTCACAGCAGTGCTCCTCAGCTCGTCCAACAGTCACCGACTTGTCGACAATGTTGACACGAAGTTCGCAGCACTCGCCACAGTCAGTACTGCCAAGAACTTGACTTTTCCGGCCTCCAACTTTCACCAAGACGCCTCAACGACGTTCACCAAGGGTCTCTCAGGCTCACAGCTGCTTCACACACTCGCACAGAGCGCGGAACGATCGTCGACACGCAGCACAAGCAAACGCTCAGCACTCGAGGTGCAGCGCTGCCCGTCACACAGAATTCTGTGTATGGCCTGGCCTTTCGCACGAGCACACAGCCTTCGACGCGTTCCCAAGGCCGAGCACACGGTGCGCAGCGACCTGGATGGTCTTGGGCTTCTGCCACACGGGTCAGGGGCTCCGTTCAACGGTCAACAGCTTTGTTACAAGCTCACAGGGTCAACCGGTTCGGTGTCCAACGGCGAGGGTCTGTGCTGCGACCAAATGGGCGCACAGCCCTTCTCAAATACCCCGTGCCCACGCTCCATATCCTCACGATGTTCTGAGGGAATATCCCACTGTACAACTTCACCATGAAATGCCACTGCTCCGTCAAAAACATCCGATGTATCTTCTATTGGAAAATACAAATGTGAAGCAATACAATTCCCACTATGAACATGTGAAAATGCTCCTGCCTTCTTTCCACTAACCACGCCACCAAAATATATCTCAAATCATTGCTAATGATCATAACCAATATGCCACTGTGCGGGACTTCAAATGAGCTCAGCCGCACAGTCAAATGACCATTTCCAAACAAAGCAAATTCTAGCCAATTAAACACATTATTGTGTCCAGCCAACACAAACTATGATTTCATCATCAACTGTGCGCACTCAGCACCAAATTATATCATACTCCATCTTAGAGACCCAAATTCTTTATGAAACGTCCCCAATACATTTTCACACGCATCCCAATTGCTAACCCTGAAAATTGATCAAGCCGTTACCTTTCATTGGCTCAATTTCGCAGTTGCTAACCAAGTACCTTCCCAATCGATTCAAATGACATCCTTTTGCTTCAAAACATATCCAAGTACATCGCACGAGTATAACAACACTCGTTTCTATTCATCTCCAGTCCAGAACCACCCATTTGATTGATTCATTCCCAAGACATTCACTTCCGTTTCCAGGCTTTGGCCTCTATTAATTAATAGCCAGCTGAATCACCTCTATTCGCTCCCAATGATTGTCCCTATGCCTTACTTACGACTCACCATCTCCCAGTCATCAGACTCCCTGTCCTCTCCTCCATCCTCAGCAGCTTCTGCCTTGATTTCGCCAATGGAGATGTATTCATCTTCATCTTCCTCCATGTCGGACTCGGCAGCCTCCCCCTCGTCATTCCTTGCATCGCTCCCCGCGGCGCGGGGCCCGCGCTCCGCGCCTCTTCCGCTTCCTCCGCCTCCCGCACGTCCTCACCCGCTCGCTCCGGCTCTGCCACCTCCCTTCGCCGTTTGGGGTCGCGCGCCATGTCGAGGAGCCCCGCCCGGACCATCTGGCGGAGCTAAATCCCTCGATCGTCCCACCCCATCTCTCTCTTTGTCTCCCGCTCCATCCACTTGGGACCGGTGTCGAGCATGGCCCTTGCGGTAGTCTTCTTCCCCGCCGCATATTCACAAAGGCGGCAGCGCTCGTCGTGCGTGCATGCCCGGCACCCCTTGGTGCCGTAGTCATTCCCATCTCCGGGCTGCCTCCGCCACCAGGCGCCCTCCTCCCATGCCGTCAAGGCATGGGCCTCCAGCTCCGAGCGGCCCCGCTTCATCCGGGCTGTCACCCGGTCGCGGTAGCGGGGAATCCACCCCGCCGGCCCCTCTTCCTCGGCGGCTTCAATCTGCCGCCTTGTGTCCTCTCGTTCCGCCCGGAAGCTCAACGCCGATGACAGCCAAGACCCCTCAATGTAGTCGCGGAGGGGGAGGGATGCTCGGACTTGCATCCATAGCTTCGAGCGGGAAACGGCGAGGGCTTCCCATCGGGCACAGATGGAGCGGCGGAGGAAGTCCACAGGTAGGCCCCCTTCACCTTCAGTGGGGGGGATCGAGTTCCCTTCGCGGAGCCAAACAAACGGGCGGGGCGGAGCATGGTCCCCGTCCGCCTCCGCCGCGCGCCATGCCGCCTCCCGCTCCCTTGTCCACAAAAACGGGTCATCCAGAACCCGCTCACGAATGGCCTGATCGAGGGCGAACGCCCACCTCCGGGTGGGCACCACGGCGACAAAAAACACTCGAAGGTGGAGGCGCAGCGGGCCCCCCGTGCGGGTGAGGCGCCACTTGGTATTGGCCGGCCATGCCATCTCCATCCAAGGCTCAGGAAGCCCATCCCCGCTCGCTCGAGTCCATGGAAACGGGGCGCCAATGTCGCCCGCCACAGCCACTCTCAAAGCGCGCTGTTTCTCCTTTGACCAGCCTCCCGGTCGCGGCTCCCATTCAGGTCGCGACGGGGCCGAAGAGGAGCCTCCCGCCTCCGCGCATGGATGGATGGACGCATCCATTTTTCGGCGAGGTCGGTCCGAGCGTTCCGCAAGCTTGGTGCGGACCTCCTGGTTGGCCCTGCACCGATATAACGCTCCGAACGCCGTGTTGCTCTCGACTCGGCCGGGCGGAACGGCCACCCCTCGCGGGCCCTAGGGGCCAGGCCTCCAACGCCCGTACGGAGGCATTCGGTGAATTCCCAGGTCACACCCGACCTGGAAATTGCCCGACGTACGGTAGATCTCCACTACTGATTGTATCTTTCACTTCCCATGTAAAAATATGTCTGACATGGTGTTTGTTGACTACCCTTCCGTCCAATTCCACTTCCCACGATGGGGACGCACTGCCCCTTGAATCTGTACATGTTCGCAACATGTTTTTTTCAGTTCATTGTGAATTTTCCCAATCCAAGGTCCAAGGGGACCATGGACTTTTCGAGGCCAACGGCCTGATGAACTGCTGCCCCTTTTTGACGCTCAGATACGCTCAAATGTATAGTATCAACGTCCCAAACTGACATGAAAAGGTGCCGTGTTTCTGGATACAGTCCCGCTCAACATGCCTCCCAATACACCTCACACTTTGAACAACACTGCCCAAACAATCCAAGGAATACTCCTTGACGGCCTGCCGACCCCTTCACACGTTTACCCCTATTCAACAGTGGCAGGTCCGCTGTTCATACCACCAAATACATAAGAACTTCTTACCATCAATCACCAGCCAGCGGCGTCCCCAAAATGACATCTAATTCAATGACAAGGCAACCAGCGTCACAGCCATATTCCGGCCCATAACTTCCCCAATTCTTATCCAAATCGGTCCCCGTTTTTTTAATTAAACTCCTACTAATTAGCTGCATATGCTGACAGGATTTTGGCAGCATTGCGCCCATATTCCCAGCCACCTTTTTACCTAAAACTATGTCCCGACTGTCCGCCACTTCTGCAGCAAAGCATGCTATTTTCTGGCCAAATTTTGATAGCGTTTCCCCCACTTTTCGGGTTTTCACAACTCTGGCGGTTTTGCAAATGCCCCACTTAATCGGGCAAGTGCTGCAAACCCTGTTTCTGCCTCAATATCTCGCTTGCAAATTGATTTGGCCAGTGCCTTGAACTATAGCTGCATTTTCCAACCCTTAGAAATGTGTCTTGCATTCTGTTTTTTTGTATGACGCCTCCTACATGCCTTGCCACTTTCTTAGACCGAAGCAGGTCTATCAGCGTGCTTTCCTCGCTTTCTAGCAACGCTGTGCGGCTGTCCATGTCAATGCTGACTGGTCTATGGTGTTGTGACACCCAGTCAGTCGCCACGTGCTAGTCATGAGCCAGTCATTGGGTGACATGGCTTCATGACTAACGGCGAATTTAACACAAAGGAGATCCCCCCGTTGATAGTGCAGGCTACCGGCTGGCCACCAACCATCCAAAGCCCAATTCCAAGCGACGCAAATGGCCATCACACTTGTCCTCTCACAGGGAAAGATGCTTCCGGGCCATTTCCGCTGCTGTTGCTACCTCGGTTTGGTTAGATGTGGGATGGGTGAGGGAGTGAAGTACAGGATTTCTGTGCTGACTAACTGCTGAGCCACATATCTTTGAAGTATGAATCATTGCTAAGCGTTTGGGCGCACTCCACTGTGGGACCGAGGTTGATGTGCGAAACGGTGATGGACACTGGTTTGAATATGGCTGGGTCAAGCAGACTGGAAGGCAGAATTCCCGTGGAAAAAGGCAACCACAAGGCTACACTTCAATTGTGTGCGACCACCATGCCATACTCGGTGCTTGCCTAAACCTCACATGGTTGAACAAGGCTTTTTAGATTTCAGGTTTGCTGTCCTTCTGTCAAGACCACTGTCACTTTCACTGGCCTCTGTCCTCACGAGGTCAAGGGAGGGGATTCAGGGACCTGATAACGCGTTCTTTTAGGATTAGGACCAACTTCCTTGAAGGAACCTAAAGCCCAGGAAGCCGGGGGTCAGACCGGAACGTGGACGCCAGCTATTGCGTGCTGCATCAATCAAGTCCTGCCCTCCTCCGCAGACCAGGCCGACGGCATTGGCTGGGCACACACACTGACGCCCTTTGTTGACAATTTCTTTCGACCGCTCTTAGTATGCCGCCGGCGGCCCCACTCGCCTCGGCTCCTCCCGTCAAGGACGGATCATTGAGTGGCGCGCTTGGCGAGGAGGACGCAGAGGTGCTTGGTCTCCGCCGAGCACAGGGGCCAACTTCAAAAAGGAAGGGGCTGTCTTCAACTTTGCGAGTCCTTGGCCGCGCAGGAGTTCAAGAGGGCACTTGCGCTGCTGAGCCGCCTGCAAGATGAGAACGCTGTGCTGAAATCCAACTTCGAGAGTGTGAGTGCATGGCGAGATCCGTCGCTGCCGGATGCGACACGATTTTCCTGCCGGTGCAGCATTTGCGCGGGTGGACGTGCGTGTGACGCGTTGAACAGGCGCGTTTGTTGTGTTGAGGCTGATGATCACCGTTGTGGGGATACGCTTCCATATTCATGACGGCTGTTCTGCCCAAATTTTGTGCAATTGACATCCGCAACCTTGACCTAGTCGAGAATTGTATGCTTTGTTTTCGCCGCAGCCCCCTCTGCCTCTCGAATCCCTGGTGCTGTCGCAGAGGCAATACCCGGAGGATGTGCGTGTGCAGCAGCTATCTCTCGTATCATTGATTGCTGGTTGCAATGGCATCGGAACAAGTAGCCACTGGCATTCCTGATGGCGTAGAACAAAACGAATGCACATGCGTGCAAGGGCCTGCATCCCTTCCCTTCAACCGGTATCTGCAGACCGTTTGCGATATTTGGATGGCTGGTCATATCCTGACATACAGCATTTTCGTGCCTTCAGCAATGGCATCAACATGTGAACTCTAAGAACATACTCGACTTCTTGCACTGCTGCCGACGTGTTTGTGTTGCAGTTGAAGGTCCTGCACCTCGAGCTGGTGGGCTCCAACAGTCAAGAACATGCCAAGCATGTAGCCCTCCAGAGGGAGAAGGTGAAGAGCACGTCCAGGGATGCCCAAGAATGCAGAATTTTGCTCATTTGAGATGCTGTGATTGCCGACAAAAAATGCAGGTGTTTGAATCCTTGAATGCAATATGTGCTTACTGAATCCGAAATCGGCAGTGAGTGACTGAGCTGGGAGGGTATTTTTCTCAGGTGTGCACTGCCCTCCACAATTTCCTGAGTGCTTTGTTCTGCTCTGCATTAAAATGTGTTCATACACAGCACCAACGTTTGCAACAGCTATTTTCAGTGGATTTGGAAACGATCATAATTCTGCCCTTCTTCTGTTGTAGAGGCTGGAGTGTGCAGCTGTGTTAAACAGTATTTGCCAAGTTGTTGAGGGCATGTCAATGGGCCTGTTTTGAGACAGGCCTGTTCTGAGATGTGTTTCTTGAGGCAGGCCTCTCAGCAGGCACATTATGAGAATGAAAAAAGAGAGTGGCAAAAGATTATTCAAGAGCAACAAAAGAGCATGGAGGAGGCACAGTCCCAAACACCAAACATGGGGTATGGGCACTTTGGTATTCCCAAGTCGGGCAGCCAACTTGCACATCACAATTGCATATTCGAATTGATCATTCTAATTGCTCATTCATGGTCAGCACCGAAATTCCAAGTTTGCTTTGTATCAGCAGAGGTACATTTGGTGAGGCTCTGGGAGCAGGAAGATGTGAGGGAGCTTGCCTGCCAAGGCAATAAATTGTGCAAACCTAGAATGTAACTGCCACTGCTGCCACAGTGATCATATTTCAACACATGCTGCCCAACTTGCACATTTTTAGGTCCAGTCATCATCATGGAGAATGGATATCATGCATTCAGTGAGCGGCCAACCCCAGAGCAAGATTCTTGTGAATCATTTGATGCAGTCATAGGTGATGCAGAAGTATTCATTGAGCAATGGCACAACAACAATATCTACATACTGGAATTGGGTGCTCTGCCATCAGCAAACTGTGTGTTTTGACATTGCCTCCTTTATCGAAACATGTGTGTGTGACATTCACAGTGATGTTGAGATGTTGCGGCTGCAATTGCGCGATGAAATCGAGCAACTTTACCAGGACAAGTACAGGGCCCTGGAGGTGGTATGTGCACATCTCAGCAATAGTTGAATTATTGGAGCATTACAAGGGACTGGCTTCCTCCTGTTTTAGTCTCAGGTTCATGTGGATGCATGGACTGCCATTGCAACCTGGCTCTATGGCCCTTGACTAGACAACCATTTACTGTGCTCGTCACAGGATGCTCCAGAGTCAATGCCACCAGATTTCTTCCTCACTGAAGGGAATCATTGATTTTGCAGTTGTGTGGCATGTGTTGCAACAAAGTGGCATTCGTTGTGACACTGAAAGCAGAGTGCAGTCGCATCCATGCCCACACAGCCCAGAGCTGTTGTTGCTGGTAGCTACACTGCAAGGGCATCCGACACCCTGGACTGCAGTGTCTCCCTCCCATGCATGTATTCTTCTGCATTGCAAATACAAATAGCCTCCACGCTCATGCTAAAACTGGCTCTGCCTGCACCTTATGGAGCATGGATATGCGACAGTCTCTTGTTGTGTGCTCTTGCGACTGGGCTGTCCCCTGTGAAGTGAACAGGACCAAACAAGCTGGTCTGCCTTCAAGTGGGGATCAATCCTCAACTGCGACCATGCTGCCTGGGAAATCCGCTGCTAGCAACATAAGTATGTGGTCCACCTGGTTGGAAACTTTGCCGGTACAGCGCACAATGCCTCTACATTCACCCCAAAGCATTAAGCCATGCTCGTCGCCCCCCAAGTTTTAGTCGATGCAAGCTCCAGGGTGTATAGAAGAGAACCTGTGCATGTATTGTCCATCAATAATGTCAACTTGAGGCCCCCTGGGGTCTCGATTGTGGCGCATGAAGCCACGATCAAATATGCACTGCAACAAGCTTTGGCACTGATGCATCATCTGCCACAGCAACAATCGAGTATACAGCCGTGTGGGCATCGTGCCTACATTTTCCATTCTGGTGGTGTCCAACTAGTCGACGTCTTAAGCGTTGAGTGATTGTAGAAGGGCATTCAAGCATATGAGCTTTCAGTGCCCACCCTCAACGCTACATACACCTTGGGTGCTGGCTACAGGAGAACGAGAGGACCCTTGACAAATGTCTTTCCTTGACGAGGAACTATGAAGCACTCAAGTCCGAAATGGACACAACGGTAGGATCAAGGGACTGGCAGGTGCAACGCAGTCTGAGGAAGTGCTGCCACATTTTTTTCTTCACTTTGCTGGACAACCATGCATCTAGTGGCAGGAGAGGGTACTGGGTGGTGATAAACTTGCTTAAAATATTGGAGTGCTCCTTCTGGGGTAGATGATTACATGATGCTGAGTCGAGAAGCACACATCCAACGCATGGGAAATGGGCTGCTTGTCTATTGGCTGTGCACCTCTTGGAACTTTGGGGTGCCACAACTCTTGAAACACAATAAGCAGCCATATGTGATTGGGCCAGGTGCTAAGGTGCAAACAGAAACTGGCCATGCAAAGAACGGAATCCGAGTCTTTGGCACACAGTCTGAAGAGGGAAACAGAGGCGCACCAGAGCCTGCGAGGTAACGAGTGGCAAGTGGCTTTTGTTGTGAAACACGGGAATCCTGTCAGCACCTCGATGCGGGCAGCGCAAACAACATCTTAGCTGTACATTCAAATGTTAAAAGCAGAGCCATTTGGGGTGTGCAGTGTTGGAGATGCCTTTCCACAACGGCGGCAGTGGCTTTCAGTTACAGGGCTGCATGACAACAGTTCATGGACATTCGTGTTGCTCGATTGGGGGATGCCATGACATCGAAAGGTGCACCATGCATTTCTCACTGGGGATGTTTTGCAGCTCCCATAGCTAGTGACTCTGGGCAGCAAGGGGTCTGCCCCAAGAAGTGTGCAAGGGAGCTGTGTGTGTGGTGGGTGAGTGGAGTCCTGACCTTGTGGCTGTGGCCTGTGAAGTGGAGGTGGGTGGGCTGCAGAAACGCATTCTGGAACTGGAGCAAGCGGCTACCCACAATGAGCGCACAATTCTGGATCTTCAGGAAACTCTTGCTGCAGCAAGGTGCTGTGACGTGTGCATGGTTTCCGATGTGACTTCATGGGAAGCGGGATTGAATTTACTCTTACGCTGCTCTTCTGTGTCCTCGGCGGCAATGGGAAAACATCGGGTTTACCGAGCTGTTGGACACCTGAGGCCATGCACTAATGTGTGTGCTGGCTCACAAGCAAGATTGGCGGGACAATGGATAATGTCTGGTGAAAAGCTGATGGTTGATGCAAATTCACTGCAGACAATGTGCAAAGCAGCTGTGCACGTTGAGCTAGGGCCAGCACATGCTGGGGCTACTTGTGCCACATTTGCACTCGATCCACTTCAGTACCTGCCAGAAGCAGTGCATTGTCATCGTGCCGCCCGTGCACTCATGCTGATGGCCGGTATGCAGAGAGAGTGAGAGTTTGTTCTTCAGGTAGTTTAGTTGCAAGTGATATTCTTCAAAATTGTGACTCAGAGACATGTATTCTGTTGCCTGGCGGTGGCATGTGCTTGTACACTGTCCAGGAAAGAAGCAAGCCAAAATTCAGCAGACAAGGAGATTGTGGCAGTTCACTGTGAGAGAAAACTAAGTTTAATGAAGGTGAGCGCCTTCCATTCCTGTTAGATGTTGCAGGAGTGCACTGGGAATGTTACAAGAATGTGGCAACAGTCATCAATTGGTTTAAGAAGAGATTAATCATGTGATTACGGAGGCAAGGTATCCCTGCAGAAAGCGCAGCTAGTTCCTTCTCAATACTGATGTGTTTCTGCGTAATATGATCCCAAGGAGCACAAAGTGGCAAGCGTGCAGGTACTCATCCTCAGGGGGCACTTTTGTGAGCACAGTGTTCTTGTTTGCTATCAGCGCTTGATAGATTCAATAGTGTGTCTGGTGGACGAATTAATGCATGTGCGCCATCCTGCACACTCTTATACCCCTGCTTCTGCGAGGTGACGTTAGGCAAGCGAGATTCAGCTTCAAGCTGTTTCAGCATCCCTGTATCGCCGGATTTGCGCCCTGCAGCAGGAGGTCTCCCACGCACAGAAGGCCAATGAAGAGTCTCACAGGTGATGGTGGTGGCTTTTAAGCTATCAATTCCAATGTGTTGGTGAGGGCAGCACTGCTGAAAACCCTGGCCGTAAGACAAGCTTTTGTGTTGTGCCTGATGTGCTTTCGGAAGTGCTGCAATCGCCCACAAGTTGTTTATTTGCTAAGGGATGGCATGGTGGCGAATTCGGTACAGTTCAGACTCAGAAATTACACATGTGCCACAGAATGGGCAAAACATAGAAGAGGCTGAAGCCCTCCTGACATATTCAAAAACCTCCCCCAAGCTTTTAACTTTGGAGGAGGGCCCTCCCAACTGATATCATCCAGAGCTGTCCCCGCTGCCTGCCATCGCTTCAAGCATCCCATTCTCCATGCCTGCATAATTTCCCCAGTGCTGGCTGTCTGCCTTCCTTGAAGAATTTATCACTTTCCCTGGACAGGTTGTGGGTCACCACATGTCAGCATTTCCTCTTTTGAAAAGAATTTATCACTTTCCCTGGACAGGTTGTGGGTCACCACATGTCAGCATTTCCTCTTTTGAAACGTTCTGTCATGCTGTCAGCTAGTGTTGTCAGGCATCTTCGACGCAACGATTGGGACGGCGGGTGGATAGGGTGGGCAGGGGGGTGGGGGCAAGCTTGTTGTCATTCGATGCAAACGGATGCCACCATGTCGACTGTGTTGTGCTCAGGAAGGAACAGAATCTCACACAAACTGGCTTAGAAATGGACTCTGTACTAGGGAGGGGGTGACTTGCATTTTGTATGACCTATCCTCCTCCAGCACTCGCTCTTTCTCTTGTGCATCAATGTGACGCTCAGTGTACCAAATTGGCAGAGTGTCGGCCCTTACAAGGTGGTACTTTAGTGTGCACATGTTGGCAGTGAGACATTCATGTGGATGAGGTAAGATGCTGGTGTTGGCGTGGCATGCATGACCACCACCGTGAAATTTGCAATGCAATGTGTTTCTTCCTCACTCGAGCCTTTGCTGTGCCTTTCTTCCTTACTCTGGCTTCCATTGCAGGCAGCTTGTAGATCTCCAAACTCAAAAACATGCGCTTCTGGAAGAATCCAAGAGGCAGCAACAAGATCACAGGTGCGGCTTTGGCCGTTGAACAATTCTTTAGGTATAAATCTGGCTGGTGGGTAGAGCTGGCAGCTCGGTATTGTGTGTGTTTGTGGCCTTAAGGAATATATGATTTTGATTGGTATGCTTAGCGTTCAAGGGGGGGGGAGGCGCGCAAGAGATTATGCAATTTCTCACAGAATTCTCACTCACAAGGTAGAAGTGGCTAGAACAGTAAAGAAGACCCTGTGCATATGCAGCTTGGCGCCTGTGTATGTGTATCAGACAAGCCCACAGGACAGGGGGTCGAATAGGAGGTGCAATCTACTGGTAGTTTTGAGGGCAGAATGTGGATGCACAGAGTCAGCGACGGATGCCTGATGGTGATTTACAACTTTTGGAGAACGGTGCTTGGCAATTCCGGCCCATCGGGTCTTGAATTGACGATCGATTCCTGGAAAGACTGGAAGGGCTGTGCCAAAGAGAAACTGCAGTGATAGTGATGCAAAAAGGCACAGGATTTGGGGGAAGCGCGTTCGCATAGCAGTACCTTGACGATCGTATGCCCCTGGCGCTGCTAGTGCATGGTCTGTCACAGGTCTGAGGGCAGTCGCATTTGCGTGGATGGCATGGCTTGTGGTGTATTGCAGAGTTGGGTGCAATGAAGGGAGTCTTTCATGCTCCATTGATTGGGCAGGGAGGAAGCTTGATGGTTCTATGCTCGGTGGCCAAAGCAGGGCCCCAGGCCATCTTTCAAGCTGGGTGCACCGGGTAAAGGCGTGCTGCAACAATCACAGGAGCACTATAAACAGAGCTATTGTCATACTGCCCTTCAGTTGTATGCACTATCCCCAAGTATCATGAGGGCAGCAAAGTCAGAATGGGCGTTGTGGGAACGAGCACAGCGTCCATCGAGTGCTAAGGGTACCTAAAGTGAAATGGTGTCTATCCTTAATTGCATTACACACATGCAGAGTAATTCTGACAGGTGTGAAGTTTCCGATTTGAAGAAGCGCCTGAGGGAGACTGAGGAGCAATGGAAACAGGAGATGCAAGAGACGTCTGAACAGGTGAAGGGCGGTTTGAAAGAGCAGTCTCCCAAAGGCACATAATGGACGGGACACTCCGAGAGACCCTGTTATGCAAATGCCCTGATTGTGCAAGGGACCTAGTTTTTATTGCGAAGGCAGGGCAATCCAAGGAATCTTGTGGGGGAGGACAAGCAATGAGATGAAGTGCATGTTTGTGGAGTACGCTTCAAAGGCTGGCGAGATACTGTTGTATTACTATTCTCGACCTTCCTCTTATTGGTTCAACCTATGCAGTGACGAAATTAAGTCCGCAGTCATCTGCAAAGATCCGGCTGTGTGCTCAGTATACTGTGGGTGTATCAGTACAGCAGCACACCGTGCCTGATATATGGTTTTGATATGGTTTTGCCTCTCCCAGGAATTGCCTTTCCAAATTCAGTTGTTGCTATCGCACCATGAGCAATGTTTCACTCCACACGCTACCTTCAGAGTTCATGCCGCGATGACAGGGAGATCTGGGAGGCCAGTGGTGCATGTCACGTCCACGTTCGTGTTTTAATTTAAAGCATATCCTGTTGAAATCTGGAGCAAAACATTGGCGACCTATTTCTGGTCCTCCAGGATATGTGCTCTTCGCTGCTACGCAGGTGATATTCTCGTGTTGACATAAGCGATGGCGTTGGCATTGGCGTTGGCAATTGAGTTGATGGTATCAAAGAGATTCGGAAAGTCAGAACTGGGATTGTGTGCAATTCTCCTTTGCAGGAATTCATATTCAATCAATTCAATGCAGTCATTCGATTAATGGAGCGTGGATTTGCACGAGATGCCTTTGGTTGACTCACCAGCGAGTCTGCCCTTTTACTTTGACAGACCTTTGGCTGTCATTGGCTAAGCTGCTTGGGAGGTGGCCTTCCATATGGTGCGAAAATCGCGGTAGTTCGTTGAAATGTTGTCTCAACTGGATGCTTATCAGATTTCGGAAAGGGACAAGAAAATATGCAGTCTCGAAGCATCTTTCAACAGAGCCCAGTACTCGAAGGAGCAAGAATGGGAGGGGAGGCTATCCAGCGCCAGGGATGGCTTTACCTCTCGTCTCCGGGAGGCAACGAGCCAGAACGAGGATTTGACGGCGAGGTTGGAAGTGCTGTCGAGGGAGAAGGCTGGTATGTGCGACATAGTTGTCATGGGAATGGACGCAAGGTTGACGATTTTGCAGGCGGCTTTTTCAGTCCCGTGCTTATTTATGGGTAGGTAACACTAGCCTTGGGAATTGCCTTCATTGATACTTGCCCACGAGCCGAGTGGGCAGCCCCCCCCCAATGTGTCATCGGAGGGAGATGGCGTCCAATGCCGAGACACAACATTGCTATCCATATCAATGAATGACACCGACCTGGATGCCATCGCAATCATCAGCAACAAATCTTGCATACCAGCCTGGATATGAATGATTGGAACTTTTGGCAACTGCCAACACTGAACAACTTGCAAAGCAGTTCCCATTTTAGCTTGCCATGTACCTGCCAGACGCGCAGGCCACCACGATGACATGTAGCCATGGAAACCGTTGGTTTCACGGTGCAGACCGTGGGCCACGGCTCACAGGCGCGGACAACGCACGGAGGTTGCTGTGTGCGTTGCCTTGTCCGAGGCCTTTGTGTCATGCAGGGCTGGTATCGGAACACAGAAAAATGCAGGCAGAAATGAGCAGAAAGCATAAGAAGGTCGAAGGGGAGCTTGCAACGACCCTGAAGAAGGCTCTGCAGGCGGATTCGTCAAAGGCTGCGTTGGAAGAAATTGTGGCGGGGCTGAAAAGCCAATTGTGCAGTCAAAAGGCGAGTGGCTTCTTTGCCTCTGTGCTTCTTTGAAGCGGGGCATTGTCCAACTGTTTGCGTGGGAGAGTGAATGTGAATCTACAGTCTGGATGCACGCCTTGGCGATCTTGTGAGTATCGCGGCTAGACTAGTATCTTGGACGGTCTGCAGGTGGACGACGGCCGTGTCCTCTTCCCCAGATTGTGTGGCCTGCTTTATGCAGGCCAAATAGTTATTCAAACAGTTGTTTTGGTTCATTCTAATAGTTATTTATATCGTGGCGCGAATTTGGATCCCAAAAGGCAGCCATGTAGAGAGCAGCATGTTGCACAACGGCCAGGCCGTCATTGACGCCCAGGACGCCAGCACCGAGGATCTCCACAGGGAAATTGCAGGTTTCAAGACTCGCATCGCCGAACTCCAAGTCCAGGTTGAAGAGGCCAAGGAGGAGGCCCACGGCCACGCGCTGGAAGCAGCCAAAGCCATGGAAGCGATGGAAGCGGCGCAGGCCGAACATGGTGCGAGCGTGGAATCCCTTCTGAAATCGTGGACTCTCGAGAAAGCTGCAATCACCAAACTGGCGTCCGACACCGCCCGCCGCGCTCGCGACAGGGCAAAGAGAGAGGCGCTGCGGTGGGATCAGAAGCTCAGGAAAATGAAGGCGGAGGCGAAGAAATTGAGCGAGGAGCGGGCCGCTCTGCATGCACGTGTGTACGATCTAGAGGAGCAAGTGCTTAATGGAGAACTGAACAGAGGCCCGGAAAAGTTGGTCCCTGGTCCCAGCAGCGCAGGTGATGCAAACCATGCTTGCGCACCAGAAATCGACACGGCACGGCTTCTTGAGGAAATGGCTGCAGTCCGTGCCCGTCAGGAGGCATACCTTCAACGGGTCAACGCCTAGGCGGCTACACGCACATGAAGATGGCCCACAGCAGTGGGCACGGCCTTGGCAGCCGGCACGGACACCACAGTGCCATACCACAAGGATCACCAGCTGCTTCCGGCTAACGCGGCACGAGGTTGCCGCGAGCTGTACACTGGGCTATGGGAAAGCAACTGAAGTTTCCAGCACCGCTGGAGAAGGACAGCACAACGGGAGCTTTGGTCAAGCGCAGGGATTGGCGATGCCTCCGAGCGTCCGTGTTCACAACGAAGAAGCCCTGTTGGACGCGCTGGTTGCCCAGCGGAAACGAGTTCTGCACAGCTCTGCCACTTTCGCATCCTTAGAGACCAAGACCCCTGCCTGAAGGCCGTGCGCTGCCTGAAGGCCAGCCGACTGTTCGGCTGTGTCCAGGCATCTACTGCGCATCTGAAGCCCTCCCAGCAACAAGTCGACACAGCCGGTGCTTCCACGAACTAAACAGCCGGGATCGGGATGCATGCGACTCAATGTACGTTTTATTACAAGCGGCGCTGGTGCACACACAGATGAAGAATATAAGCTGTTCCATCTCATCCCGATGTCCGAAGTGGTTGGGCAGTTTGCAAAGTCCTTTCCGACAAATTCGTTAACCTGTGCAATTACATTTGGCACACCATGTAGGCCACGCTGACGCAGAATCCGGCAAACGCCACCCAACCCACCAGAACTACAAGAAGCCATTGCGTTCGTGTTGTTCCGTCCCTATGCACTCTAATTTACACGCGGAGCTCAATCCGACTTTGTAGCTCAACGGGCCACGCCGCTGCCACGGGCGGCCACTCGCCCATTGAGCCAAAAATTTTAACAAAGCCTGATTTTGCCCCTTGATGACACGAGGGAGCTGCGCCCCCAGCAAGCCCCCAACAGAGCAAGCACCGAATCCAGCAGCCTATTTGTGCCCCCCCTTGCTGCTGACTGGTTCAGGGCACACGGATTGCCACCGAAACTTGATGCTTGATCTTGTCCTCGTGTCATGGTCTCCTCCCCCCATGCCCAATGCTGCTGAATGGCATGCTACTCCCTTTTTCGGAAGAAGGGGGACTGGAATGGGGCTCAAATCCTGGTCGCAACCTGCCATGTTCGTTCACCATTTCCAGCGCTTGTGGCTTAAAGCTACTCATGGTCCAAAGCACCCCCCCAACGCCCGATTCCCCTCCCGTTTCTTGGACCTTCCTGGCTGAGCCAAACCTCACATCTGATTGTTCATGGCCCCCGGCGCCCTCTCTTGAGGAATCCCACCTGCCGCCCACCACACCCAATGGCCCTACCGAGGGCGAAATCTGCACGGCCACCTGCCCGTGGGTTGCCTGCACTGGAGGTGTCCATGCTGGAGGTGGCTGTGCTCCAGCAGCGCTCATGTTCAAAATGAAGCTCGACTGCCCTCCGCGTGGCGCACGGTGGCCCACGAACGATGGCTGGTGCAAGGCTTCGAACGGCACAGCCGAGGTGTGTGTGGCAGGGGTGCCTGGGGTCAGAGGCAGTCGCTGCACATCTGCCATTGGCGCCAGTGTGTGTTGGTAGGCACTCCCAGGGACCAACAGGTCAGCATTCCTGTCTCCAAACCAAGTTGATCTGGGGTACACCCCTGAAACCACAGGCTGCACGGTGTCACCTGCGGGGCTCAGAGGGCTAGGAGAGATGCCTAGCGATATGGACTCCGATGAGGCAAGCACCACCTGAGGGTACCCATCGCCGCCACTGTGGCTGCTTGCAGGCATGGGGCTATCATTCTCAGATCCCTCAGACACCTCTGAGTTGACAACCGGGTCCCACGCAAAGTTCATGTCTGGACCTTCACTCTTTTGAGTTTCATCAATGGACACAGAGATAACAAACGAGCCACCTCCATTGGGCTCATTCCCAATGCTCCACATCTGGTCATCTTCGGCACTGTCGTGCACTTCAGACTCAGCACTGCCCATGGCCAGCGACTCCTCGCTGGCATTCAAGGTGCCGCCCCAAGATCGGGGACCATGGGAGGGTGAGCGAGACCCTGAAGGCGTGTGTGGCCTGGGCGAAGGCGTTGGCGGATGGGTTGGCGAAGAAAGGCATGTCTTAGGTGACAGACAAGCCTTGGCAGGCTCCTCCCTGCTGTCCAACAAAGCCTGCATGTCCAGCCTGGTGTCAGTGGGCGGCGGTGACTCTGCCGGCTGCGAAATGTCCAGCCCATGACGTCTCGCCTCCAACTCCACCTGATCCGCCAGCAACTGCAGGAGCTCTGCACCATTCTTCCCGTTCAGCCGCGACACCACCGCCAGGTTCTCTTTCTGAATATTCTTCGGCTGTGTGTACTCATCGCACTGCAACTTTGCAGACAAAGTCTCCAGCACCTTCTTAATGAACTTGAAGTCCGGTCGGTCAGCAGGCTTGGGGGACAGGCACACTACGCAGAGCAGTGCATACAGCATGGGGCAGGTGACCGGGTACTTGGGAAACTTCTCATGGTATTTGAGGCTGCCTTCACCCATGGACTGTACCGGTGAGCTCTGGTGGTAGATCTCCCACATCACCACGCCAAAAGAGAAGACATCCGACTTCTTGGACAGGACACCCTTCTGTGCCACCTCAGGTGCCATGTAGAAAGGGGTCTGCACACAACAGCACACACTCTTGAGAGACCATGGTGAGTCCCAACAATGGCTGCACAAGCAATGGACTTGGCAAGGTATGTTCTTGACACAGCCATTTCTTGCAGCAAGAGGTGCCATACTGCACAAGTAGGCACGAAAGCATACACAAGCATGTTCCAGCTGGGCCCAATCAGATCTCTTGAATAAATGGCGAATCAAAATAACACAGAGTGCAAATTTTCAACCTTTCGATGTGCATTGGCATGCATTGGCACTTAGTCCTGACCAAGGTCCCAGGGTCGCACATCCTTGGGCACATCCTTCAAAAGGAGAACGACAGTTCATTCTCAAGTGAAACGACGTTTCAAGTTCACTGCAACAACAACTTGAATGAGATTTCTGTAAAGGTGGCAAACAGTGACCAGAAATGACGACTGCAGACGAGCAGCACCGAGTACCAAATACAGACATCGAGAGGCAGCCATAATAGCAACAAAGCGTGAAAGGCTGCAGCCTTACCCCAGCTCTGTGGTCGGACACGTGGGACTGCCATGACCCCATCTTCACACTGAGCCCAAAGTCCGCAAGCTTTGAGACAACCTGTAGCGGTCCCTCTGCATGTGTCTCATGCTGCAGAAGCACGTTTTTAGTGTTGAGATCGCCATGAACGACGTTGTGATGGTGCAGATGTGCCAGGCCGCTGGCCACGTCGCTCGCTATCTGCACAATCGCCCCCAACAGCTTCTTGTGGGTTGTACATGATGCAAACAGGCCCTTCTTGAGGGCGCTCCTCAGGGAGCCGTGCTCGCACAACTCCTGGACGATGTACAGTTTCCAATCTCCTTCCTTGATTTGCCTGTTTATGTCCCAATCGCCCTCCTCCACTTTCTCGTTTGGCTGCAGCCGTTTGAATGAGTGGTAATATGTTTGCACCACATTCCTGTGGGCTATGCTGGAGCTTATTGCAGCCTCCAGTATGGCGCGTTCCTTCTCCTTTCCAGCTGCATCCGGAAAGTCTGTAAACACCACCGTCTTCACCGCCACTGGTATTCCCCTCCAACGCCCCTTGTACACCACACCGTAGCCCCCCGTTGCCAGCTGTTCCTCGATCGTGACAGCGTTGTCCGCCACGCCCACCTGTTCGCCCGTTATCTTCTCATGGAAATACGTTTGGATGTCGCACTGCTCGCTCCCCCCCACCGCAACTTTGCCCGCCTGCTCCGCGGCGCTGCCCTTGCCCAGCCGACTGCGAGACTCCCCGAAGTCGCCAGCGAAGCTCAGGCCCCGGCCCGACACACCCTTCCTTCTCACCCTGGCGGCCACGTTCCGGCAAAACGTTCTGGGAGGCCAACACAATCCCACCAGGCACACCAAAATCACCCCGCCTCCCACCCCAAGCAGGATGTAAATCGCCGACCGCTCATCCCCCGAGCTGGACGTCGCCGTCCTGGGCGCCGCCGACGCCGGCGACGGCGACGGTCCCGCGAGGGCGCCCGGGTCGCAGGTCAGCGTCGTATTGGCGAAGCACGTGCCCCGCCCGAAGTAGCTGACAAACCTCAGAGTGGCGTTGTCGCTGGCGGGGTCCACCTCTATCCCGTGATTGATCTCCGTGCCCTCCGAGCCGAACATCCGCAGGGACCGCGTCAGGTTGGAGACGTGCTCGCACGTGGACAGGATGGTGGTGTTAATGAGCGTGATGGCGCAGTCGCACATCGCGAGGCTGTAGTCCACGGTCGAGTGGTAGTTGACGCTGAGCATGCACCCAGCGTCCGCGTCATCGCAGAGTCCTTCGCCCGGGAGCGCGAACGTCAGGTTCTCGATCAGGTTGGCCAGCACAAGCTGTCCCATGGGCCCCACTTGCGCCAGGCTGCCCTTCTCTGTGCTGGCCGCCACCCGCAGCATCGTCCTGCCGTCCAGGGGCCCAGACAGGATAACCTTCCCGACGATCTGGACGGTGGCTTGGGCCCTCACTTGACCCTCATCGACCGACACGTCCCGCGTGAGGAAGCCCTCCACGGGCGGCCCCAAGGCGGGCTCCCGGGCGAGCTGCAGGACCTCGAAGAGCCCCGCGGCGTCGCTGACGTTCCTGCGCAGCGTCGCCCCCCGATTGCGCGCCTCCGTCGCCGACTGGCGCCTGAGCACGACGTCCCGCAGTCTCGCGGACCCGACCGCCAGATCCCGCACAAAGAATTCGGAGCCCACCACGCTGATGTTCGCCCCATCCAGAGCGCGCAGCCGGCGAATGTCCCCGAGCAGCAGCACCCACGACCGCGCTGCCAGCGCGAAGGTCGAGTCCCTGAAAAGCACGCCCGCGGGCGGCGGCGCGTCCACCAGCCCACCCAGCAGCCCGGCCATGGTCTCCTCGCTCCCGCCCAAGTAAATGGTGAAGTTGACGATTGTCAGCACCGGCGCAGCCCCAGGGTCGATGCGGACCAACGGCCGATCCCGCGCCTCCACCTGCAGTCCCGTGCCCGCCGCGCGCCCGCCCAAGGTGACGTTCCCCTTCAAACTTATCGTGGGCATGAAAGCCAGGCGGTCGATGAAGATGCTCGTGTTGGCCACCACCACGCCATCAGGCGGCTCGGCAGTATGTATGGTGCCAAGGGCCGCGTGCAGGCCAGCGGCGTTCACCGCGCTCCATTCCCTACCCACCCTCTCTATGGTCCCTTCGCAGGGCGCCAGGGCCGCCAGAACTAAAACGGCGGCCAGCCAGGCGGTCCCAACCGCCGGCCCCCACGCCCGCCCCCACATCCTGCCTACCCCCGCCGCTACAGGCGCGGCCATATATATCTTCCCGTCACCTGCACCCCCCCTGGACCAGGCCGTACCGACGGTGCCGGGCTCTTTGATCCCGGCAAGCGGCGCGCCTCCTGGATCCCAAATCCATTGGCACACGCCCGCTACGAGGCGCCAGACAAAGCGAGCAAAAGCCGGCGCCACCTAGGCGTCCCACACCCTCCGCGTCTCGGCGCGCCTCACTGGTTCAGCGGCCGCCTTCGCGGGCGAAAGCAGCTTAAGCGCCTTGGCGCTGCCGTGATCGCCGGCCCCCAGCGTCTCCGGACGCCTCAAAGTCCCGTGCTTGCAGACGTACCGCGCCCCTGATGGGCTGAACCACCGCCCCTCCTTGCCGCTCTGGTTTTTACCCGGCAACTCCCCGCCCGCGGGCCGCCCCAAGGTAGGCGGGTTCCGGCGCCGTGGTACGGTGCCCCCCCCTGCCCGCCCCCGCCTCCGGAGCGAAAACGGTGGAGCGGCTGCGCAGCATTCACGGCCGCGGCCGCTCACTGCCCCCGACGCAGATTTCGACTAGGCAAGGCACGCAGGGCTGGGCGCCAATCTGTTCGCTCAGCCCCACCATGACGTGGTCGGTCATGGGGGGGGTCCTGCCCATCATATGGTGTGGAACCCCGTCGCCGTGCAGTGCGTCACAACCCAAGGGGTAATGAGAACCATATGCCCGTCTCGATGCCCATTCAGGACAGTTCAGAAGGCCTGTTCCGACCGTGAGCGGCTTGACCCGCGTTGATTTGTGCATCGCTGCAGGGTGCGCTGGCTTGCGACTCGCACTGCGGCTCGCACTCGTGGACACATGGACAAGCGATGGTTCGACGATACATGGATGCGGGGATGAGGCGTTGGGTTGGTGCGGAGAAACGATCGACTCAGCCATGAGTTAAATCCGAACCGACCTTTGGCATTTACACTGGCGGCGCCCGCATAATGGCCCGGTACGGTGGGCACGTGTATGGTCGCCAGTCAGACGCACCCGCGAACGCCCAAGTCGTTGGTGCCCAACGTCGAGCGGCCAGCAGGGGGAGTTCCGGATGGGGCGAGGGCCGCCGCCTCACCTTCCATCCCCAGAAACAGGCTAGGTGTTGTCCGAGGGACAACAAAACAGGGGAGGTGTGGCCCGAGGGCGCAAAGCGCCCGAGGGCCACATCCGCCTATTTTGCCAGCCCGAGGGCAACATCGTCCATCTTGTCTGAGGCGCAAGGCACCGGCCTAGTAGATTACCTTCACTGTGTGATGGGATCACTGAAGCTCGTCGCGCAAAAAAAATGCAGAAATAGCGAGCTTCAGTATAGCTGGGCACGAACACGACACGGTCAGGCGTCTACTTATCAGTATGTAGTCCAAGACTTTGCACATCGAATAGAACAGGCAACCACAGTACAAACCATTCAGAGGGAGATGGCACAACTAGAGGTCGGCGGCGCAGGCCGTTATTTAAAGGCAACACGGCCCCAATGCCATAAGTTGCCATTAGCGTTAACGGCAGCGGATGCCTCTACGGACGGCGCACTTAGTAATAGGTTTACTAAGTAAGTGAATTTGCCATTGGAACGGCAAAATCCTGCCACCCAACGGCATTTGATGGTGAGCACTGAGTGCCACCGGCATCTCGCAGCGCAGCCCAACGGAGAGCCGGTATCTTGCGGCACGTAGGCTGCTAACCACCAACGGCGCTCCGTGGCACAATGAACTAATGTACCAGCATTTTACGGCATGAGTGTCTGAGTGCACAGCGGCGGCCATCGAATCTTCTAGCATTGGCATTCAGCTGCGTTGCGTGCGCCGACCTTTACCCAGATTCACATAAAATTCTAGTATTTAAACTCAAATCATGGCAAACCTCTCCCGGTGTATCCACACACACATCTACGTCACAAAAAACTACTCCGGCAATCCTTTGCCACCACAAAATTTGCCCTGCCATCACGAATGTCATGCTCCCATGGCGGACTAGTTGTGTTTTACTACATTGTACTGGACATGTCATGTCTGCCATGGGAGTACCCCCAAAAATTGGGCCGCTATCTTTTTGCGCCCCATTGCAACCGACCCTCATGCAAACCCGCGCTCGTGCTACCCCAGACGTGGCACACCATATCGAAGGCAAGCGCTACGGCCACCGTGACGGTGTGCGGATAAGTCAGAGCCACTCCTAATGGGGTGGTTCGATGCCTCGATGGGCGCCTCCCGACGGCACCCGGTCGCTGCCGATGGGCAGCCTCTCACACTGCAAGGTGTGGCGTCTCAGGGCGCGCGCTTCCCCTCTCGCTCGCTGTGGTGGGCCCGTATGATCCGAAGATCGCCGGGGTGCGGAACAGGACCCGAAGGCCCGGCGGGTCGACTCCTCGCGCTCGGTGGTTGCAAGCGCGGGTGCTGGGGTCCGAAAGCGATTACAAAAAGTCAGACAGGCGCTGTTTTGCCACTATCGCGCAGCGCAGCTGACTCACCCTACATTGGGTGGCCAGCACACCAGAAAATGCAATGTATAAAGGCAGAATGTAATGTAACGGTTCCGGCATGTCTCCACCAGTCCCCAGGAACTCACAACCACCCAGAATACTCCATAAATGAACAGCCAGGGCCACTAAATTAGCCCCAAGAAACCTGGCTGTAACTACCCCCATGTAATTCCACAACAGTACTCCCTCCTGGGGGAGTTTTTGCCCTCGAAAACCAGTCCCCATAAACCGGTTCCACTACCGCTACCCAATTGTAGACCTATTTCTGATCTTCAACGGGTTTGTCACGGGCGATCATTTTCTTCAATTCGCTGGGATAGTCGAAGTTCCCCTCAGGCACCCAAGAAGCGTCATCGATGGACCATCCTGTCCAGAGTACCAAAAATTCCTTGACCTTCTTGTAACTGGGTCCTGTCCAATGCCACCTCAGAAGCTTTTCCACGTCGTAGGGCTGATCATCTTCAGGCTCAATTTCATCTGATCCAGCAACTGCATTTGATGGTGTCCATCCTGAGACTCTGAATGGGCGCAGCAAGCTCGTGTGGAAGACTTTGTGGATCCTCCAAGACTCTGGTAAGTTAAGTTCATAGGCCACCTTGCCAATTCGGCGGATGACGAAGAACGGCCCAATGAACCTTTTTCTGAGCTTGCGGATAGGTGCATTCTTGAGCGAAAGATGTTCTGTACTCAATAGCACATGGTCTCCAGGATGAAACATTTGCTCTCTATGCCGCTGGTCGGCCTGTACCTTCTGCCGCTGTTGAGCCCATTGCACATACTGCATAGCCCGCTGAAAAGTCTTCTGCATCCGAGACACAAACACGTTGACACTCTCAATCCTGGTAGTATCACTGTCCCAAATGAGGTCCAACGGAGTACAAGGGTCATACCCATAGTTCAGGTAGAATGGGGTATACCCCGTGGACAGTGACACACTGTGGTTCATGACAAATTCCACAGTGGATAAATTCTTCTCCCAGTGTGTTGCTTCGGAAGACTCATGAATTGTGCACCTGAGGACCATCTCCACCACCCTGTTCATCGCCTCTGTCAATCCATCTGTCTGAGGGTGATGAGATGTGGACATTCTGAGCTTGCTCCCCATAATTCTCCAGAACTCACGCCAGAACTTGGACACAAATCTGGGGTCTCTGTCTGATACGATGGAACGTGGTATCCCGTGAAGTTTTCCCACCTGGTCCCAATAAATCCTTGCTGTATCAGCAGCCGTGATGGTCTGCTTAACTGGGATCAAGTGCACCATCTTGGTAGCACGGTCCACCACTGTAAGAATTCCATCGTTGCCCTGCTCACTGGCTGGTAACCCCATGATGAAATCCATACTGACGTCAGCCCATTTCTCCTCAGGAAGCTCCAAGGGCTGTAACAACCCAGCTGGTAATTTGTGGACGCTCTTTTCCATCTGGCAGACCTGACATCCCAACACAAAGTCTCTGATATCCACTGTATGGTCTGGCCAGTAGAAATTCTGTTGTACTTTCTTGAGCGTCTTGTGATATCCCAGATGTCCAGAGTAAGGTACCACATGAAGTTCCTCCATAATCTTCCTCCTAATCTCTGGAACATCTGGTATCACCAATCGCCAGCGCTGAATGTCCTTGTCCTCGTTATGCGACTGAATCTTCAATAATTCATGGTTCTTCCGGTATACACTAGTGCCAACTCTGATGGTATGCTCTTGAGACGACTGTAGCTGAGTAATGATGTCGTCCCACCTAGTGTCTGTCTGATACCCCTTTTTGATGTCCTCTCTCAAAGTTGAATCCAGAGTTACCCTCATACGAGTGATGAATAAAGAATATGAAGAATCAACTGATGACTGAATCCCCTCTGTATCCCCTCCAAGTTGGATCTTTTAAACACCTCATCCAACTTTTTCTGTATGGCCTCATCTGTCTGATCACCCTCACCCAGCCTCAATCTCTGGACCAACGACTCCTCCTGTGCCTGCACGTCCACCATACTCCTGATATCTCTGATGTTGCGGCGGGACAAAAAATCTGCGGGGTTGGTTTTGCCCGGTATGTGGACAATATCACAATCATACCCCTGCAGGATTTGAACCCACTTCCAGACCCTTCTGTTCACTGAGGGCTGGTTTGGTAGATTCTTGAGGGTGTCGCGGTTTGTCTTGATCGTGAAGTGGTTACAAGCCAGGTAGTGTCTCCATTTTCCGACTGCCCAAATGATGCCCAACAGCTCCCGTTTGTATGCACTGTACCGGGTCTTTGCAGGATTCATTTTTCGGCTCTCATAGCAGATGGGTTGCAGTCCATTGCCGAAATCCTGCTGTAGAATGGCTCCAACTGATACTTTAGAGGCATCAGTTGTCACTGTGAATTCCTGGTCAACGTCTGGTAACTGGAGAATGGGTGCTGTGACCATCGCAGTCTTCAACCTGTTGAAAGCTTGTTCCTCTTTGTCCGTCCACTGCCACTTCACATTTTTCTTGGTGAGGTCTGTCATCGGGGCTGCGATTTCACTGAACCTCCTTATAAACTTCCTGTAGAAATT